CTTTTTCGGTTTTTTTTTTTATAAAAGATAAAGTGAGAAAAATGCCTTCAACTTCACTTTCGAAGGAATCTGCAAATAAAGCTACGGAGCTCTAATTTCATTCTATTTTGTTTTTATTTCTCTAAATTGAAATTTCACCGCTTTTGGGTCCCCTTCGTTGGTTCTTTGTCTCCATCTCCGATCGAAAACGAAAACCCATTTCAGTTCTTCGTCAAAGGTTTACTCTTTCGTTCCGATTCCTCTGATTTTGTTCTTCTGTATAAGCTCACAATTTTCAAAATGCTGTTTTTAGAACAATTCTGGCTGCTTTTTTTTTTTTCTCTGTATAGTTCAATTATCTGAAATGGGTTATTTTGTATTATATGTTATTTTTTTCCATTGCGTTTGTTAGGGATTTACCTAAATTAGGTTTCAACTTTCAATCTGTTTACTTGCTTGCATTTCACTTTGACCAATTTCACCCCTTTTTCCCCCCTAAATGAAGCCTCGAGTTTTGGGACCAAACACACATTTGTGCTGTGTTAGGTGAATGTTTGTCAAATGTTGAAGAAACTCCTCACTTCTTGCTAAAATATAAATGCATTTTTGTGTGTTGTGTGATGAGTTTTATAACCTTCCAAACAGTTATCAGATTCATTCTACAGGTGAAATTTGAGAAGATTGTTGGTGAGAGATATTTGGAGTGTTTCTGTAAGTAGAAACCTCGAATTTGGCATTCTTGGTGAAGGTTATAAGGAGTTTTCTGAAAAGTTACATACCGGCTTTGTGGTTTTGGGTAAAGCAATTTGCCTCCTAAGTTCTTGAGTTAAACCAAAATATATATATATTGGAATTAAGAAGAACAGAAAGAGAGAGAAAGAGATGGGATGTGTTTCTTCTTGCTTTCGGGTCGAAGACTTTGAAGATTACACGAATCCAAGTAGCTCTGTAAACAGAAACTATCCATGCCCGAGATGCCTTGTTAATAACTTACTTAACCTGGTACTGTTCTCTTCCCAGTGTTTTACCTTGCTACCGGTAGTTATATGTAAAGTAGAGCTCATCGAATTTGATCTCTTTTTGTAGTATATCTCTTTATTCAGAAGAGGCGAAACCCGCTCTCTCCCATCTTCCTTACAAGCTACTACAGTGTCGATAACTTCCTCTACTTCCTACGATAACTTTATGTCTAACACATTCCATTCTACTCCAAGACCTCTGCCTTATGATGCTGATCCAATATACTTCCGTTCAAGGCGTGATTCGCTAGTCTCAAGACGAGATAAGGGTTCAAGTCATTCACATGAGGAAGCTGAGCCCTTAAGAAGTGATTCTGATTTGGATTCTGAATCTTTCTCAGTGGAAGGCAGCAAATGGGCTAATAAGCTTATTACCTCTGGTGAAGATTTCAAAGAAGAGTACTCCATATCCACTCGGAGAATTCTTAAGTCAAAGACAATGGCTGCTACTGCTAGTAACGAAAGCATGTATCTATTGTCTGATGATGAAGATGTCTGTCCAACATGTCTTGAAGGTATTCATATTTCATCTTCATTTCTTCTTCAATCAATGCATTTGAAGGAAACTTAGTATTATCTATTGTTTGGCTTTCTGCAGAATACACATCAGAGAACCCTAAGATTGTCACAAAGTGTTCTCACCATTTCCACCTCAGTTGCATTTATGAATGGATGGAGAGAAGCGAAAACTGTCCTGTTTGTGGAAAGGTAACACTTTTCATGTTCTTCCGAGCCATTTCCCGGTTTCTCCAACATATTACTCCTTTCTCACTCGCTGGATCATTAGAAACAATTGAATGAAAAAATGCTTGATAACCTATGAAACACACATGCGTAGAACTGTCTTAAGGAGATATATGTTTCGCAAAAAATTTACCAGGAAGCAGACTGAATCTCTACCTGAAATTCAGAACATTTGCAGTGTTTTCTCATTCTTGTACGATTAAAGAGTAATACTGTTTTCCCTTTGCTACGTTTTTGTCTCATTTTCAGGTGATGGTTTTCAATGAAACACCGTGACTGATTATCATTGATCTGCTCTTGTACTGTCTAAACCGGAATCGAGGAGAGACTGACAAGGCAACAGAGAGACATGTGTATATTGCTTTGATCTGTGAATATTGTTTATTTACAATGGGTATATATAATGGAGAAATGAGGAAATGTCTCTCTGCACAATTAGCATTTGGAGTTAAGAGGAAACACTCTTGAGACAACTACAGAAAAACACACTTTCTCATGATATATGCCTCTGGTGCAGAGTTTTTGTCCAAATCATGGAACTTTGTACATCATCTTGTATGAATTACTTAACCTTTTTTTATTAGTATGTGATTGTTTAGAAATTTGGCATAGAGGTTTACATTGGGTCAAGGAGAAATCCCATTGTAATATGTTTTTCATTACATGCCTCTGAACTTGTCATTGGTTCAATGTTAAAACAATTTCCACACATTTCAATCCTTAATAAGCAAGGATTCCCAACAGACACACAAAGTCTTGAAGATTCTCAAGACCATTATATAGAGCCACTTATGTCTACAAGTCCAAGTCTTGTGTCTATACTTTATTATATATAAAAGGTCTTTTGTTGGTGAAACTTGATCACAACAGTAGAATGGTCACATGACTCTCAGAGCTGAAACTTGATCACAACAGTAGAATGGTCACATGACTCTCAGAGCATCCAGCCTGGGATGTAACCGTTTCCGGGCTGCGCCTGAACTTGCGTTGTCGCGGTTATCTGCTCCGAGCATGCCGGGTTATCATACCTGTCATCACCATATAATATAATCAACAATAGCTTAATTAACCATTGATGATCTTCTTTAGACCAAGCAACTAAACAACATTTAACAAACACTAGACAATCTTAGCAGTGAAATACACAAGCTGATTCATTTGCAGATGGTATTAAAACAAAGATCTTAAAGGATTTACCCGATTTGCAGAGTTGGATTGCATTCAAGAGGCTGGTATAGTCCTTGAGACTGAGCTTGATGATGCGCGTAGGTAACATTCTGTTCACCACCTTCCCATCCTCCTCCTCCCATCTGGTGACTTCTCACACCAATCATATCATCCAGCTAAACAGTTCATTTTTCACCACAAGACTGTAATCAGAAACAAGAAAACTAGAGATTTTGATTGTGTATATAGAAATGTTTATATATAAATTAAAATACCTTCAATGCCAGAGCTCTATTTGTTTCAAGCAACATTTGCTCTTTGCTTTGAAGATCAGAGAGCTGATCAAGCATGTACTGTGTCTGCAAATAATCATATAATTAAACCAACATTTTCACACATAATCCATCCATGTATATATACAGCTAATTAATGATATGACCTTAATGGATCGAACTTGCTTGAGAGAGCCATCTAGTTGACGCTCAAGCTGTTCTAACTCCTTTGAATCTAGAGGTCCTAAATCCTCCCCAAGAAGATTTCTGCAACAACAAATTAAAGACACACAAATATGAATCTAGCTGGTG